TTTATTAATAAATAATGATTTATAATTATTTATTAATTAATTATGAATAATTATTTGATTATTCATAATTAAATTTAATTCTCTATGGGCTAATATTTCAATGTCCTTAAAATGAATAGATCGGTCAGGATTTTTCTATTTAAGTTATTCTTCAGATCAAAGAAAAATTTCTGAAGAATTGACTATCCAATCAAAAGTTGCACATGCTCTATTAAGTGGAAGGAAAAAATGTCCTATTAACTCTAAAAAGACTTTCATTTGTATTAAAAAACAAACATTCCCACATCTCATTAGCCTAAAAATAACCTAGAAAGAATTCCTGTCATTATTCATTAACTTATGTTCAGTTAAATCAGAAGTAGAATGCAGAATAGTGTTTTGTGTAATGATTCTAAAATAATAAAATTGCCAGGTTGAAAGTGATGTGAAATTACTAGGAACTTGCACTTTGGGGGAGACATTTTAAATTTATAGCAAGTTCTTTGACTAGTTGGAAAAAGTATAAAAAATTTTTAGATATATTTGGCAAAAAGGTATTTGGATAGCTATTGACCTTATTGTTCTTTGAAAACACTAGGTTTATAAATACACTGGTATTTCACATGGAAGCAAAGGAAGCAACTAGTTACAGTCCAGTAAATATTTCATTAGTTATAGCGCAGTAAATATTGCCAAATACAAAAATTTATAGAATTCCAAATATTGTTGCCCCTGAGTCTTGTCTGTTAATCATTATATTGTTACTGCATTTCTTAGGAACATCCTCACCTCCACTATGGCTTGAGTTAAAAAACATTTTTGAATAGGAAAATGTGTCTATGCTTATTTTTGTTCTGTGTTTCTTGCTATTTAAAAATAAGTTGAAAAGAATTTTGAACTAATATTTTATGTTAAGATGAATGAAATTCCTTCCAGTTATCTTACAGATTTTAATTATAGTTAAAATTATTGCATTAAGGTCAGAAAAGAGTATGTCTCAAATATTTTATGGTAATATACGTTACTTCAGGAACAATAGTTTCCAAAGAATCTTTAATACATTTTCTATATGACGCATGTACTTTAATAGTAGTCTGCCTCTTAGATTTTTCACTTTTACTTTCAGTTTATTTCTGAAAACCCTAAAAAATTTTTTCACAGTTACTGAAATTCAGAATTGCAGACCTCAAGTAGGAAGGGACATCTTTGGAGGAAAAAAAGGTGTATTACAAAGGCAAAAGGAAGTAGATGGCTATATAATTATACTGTTAACTTAGATCATATAGAGAATCTAAATTAGACCCAATTCAAGTTTTAACTATATCTGTTTCAGGCCTAATATAAAAAAAACCTAATAGTCTGTGCTTTCCACATTTTGTTTCTAACCTTAACAAAAACCCAGCCAGAAATATAATTGATGAAGAAAGTATTCATTACGTGAGAACTTTCCTGAGATTTACTTCATATGTAATTTACACACAATTACGATTATATCTCTGGTTGGCTAATATGCCTAGTTTTAATAGTTTGATAAATATATGCATTTGATAGAAAAATTTGTTTCCTGATTGTGAAGCACCTCATGCAAATCCGTTTCAAATGTTCCTTTTCTGCTTTTTATTTTGGTCATTTAGGGCATCTGAGTTACAAAACACTGTAGCTTATGACTGTGTACAGCTTCATGGAGGTTGGGGATACATGTGGGAGTACCCAATTGCCAAGTGAGTATGGCTGTTCTATTATACTCTTCTAGATGATGTGGAAAAAAAAGGAAAATTACTGTACTTTGTACATTGACCATTGAGAGAAAGGAAGTGCAACATCTTTACATTTTTCAACTGACCATAGAGTCTATTCAGGCAGATAGAAACAACTTTATGCTATCATTTCACCACTAGGATTTTGTCATTTTTAAAGAAAGTAAAGAGACCAATATACTAAAGTTTGATGTTTGGCTTTATTTGAATTATTATCTGTTTTTAAATAGTTCAATAATGTTTTGTTTTATTAACCACTAGGTTTTCTTTAACTTTTTACTATAACAAACAATGCTGCAACAAATACTTTTATACATTTATCTTAGATATATGTGTTTTCAATTACAACAGGATATAGTCCCAAGAGTAGTATTGCTAGTTCAAAAAGTATGCGTATTTTAAATTTTAATACATTTCCAGATTATTTCCTTCAGTTTATAGCAACTCATACTCAAATGAACAAAGTCTGATGACTTATCCCCTTAAGCTATGAATGTATTGCCTTTTAAACTTTGTGCTAATCTAATAGGTGAAAAAATAGGTTATCATTCTTCCTTTAATTTGCATTGACTAGTAATTATTTTATTTTACATTTTATTTTATATTTTTTCTTTTATTATT